CCCCTATATAACGTTACCCCCCGATATTCGGTATTTTGATGATTTTAGCGACATTTTTTAACGGAATCGTTCCAAATTTGGTATTTGAAGTTCGTAATAGATGCTGCAGCACAAAACAGAAAATGGGCCATGTAGGTTCACGTCTTCGTATAGCCCCCATATACCATACCCTCCGATATTCGGTATTTTGATGATTTTAGCGACATTATTTACCGAAATCGTTTCAAAGTTGGCATTTGAAGTTCGTAATAGATGCTGCAGCATAAAACAGAAAATGGGCCATGTAGCTCCACGTCTTCGTATAGCCCCCATATACCGTACCCGCCGATATTCGGTATTTTAATGATTTTAGCGACATTATTTACCGGGATTATTTCAAATTTCGCATGTGAAGTTCGTCTGTGCAGGTCCACGCCTTCGTATAGCCCCCATATAACGGTACCCCCTATATTCAGTGTTTTGATGATTTTAGCTACATTATAAACAGATTTTTCTTCAAGTTTCGCATTAAAATATTGTAATAACTTATGACAAAAGTTGCCTATGCAGGTCCACGTCGTCGTATAGGCATTCGGTATTTTTCAGATTTTAACAGAATTTTTAACGGATTTTATTTATTTTTTTTTTTTGAAAATTGTCAAATTTGTACCAAATGGTGGAGGGTATTAAAAGTTCGGGCCGCCCGGCCGGCCCGGAACTTACAGCTTTTTTACTTATTTTTCCCTGAAGCTCATAAAACGGGAAATAAATACTCGATTCCCTTCAGACTTCGTACATCTCAATACTTCTTCTAACACAAGATCTGTTCTGAAGATAGTAAAGATAAAAAGGTAACGCAGAGTCTGTTGCGAAGATGAAATATATCTGCCATCCCCTCACCCATAAAGGGTCACAATTTTCAACACTTATGTATATCTGTCGTAATTTGCGAAACATGTCAGTGATTCCTTACAACTTGCTATATCTGAATATTTCTCTCAACCAGAAACCTGGGCTAAATATGGAATTTATGATTTTGCATAAAAGTAAATATAAATATTTGATTTTCTTGTAATTCTGCATATACCAATATCTATCAGAATCTGTATTAGAAGAAGTAGGAAAATTGAATACTTCGGTCGACTATGTCTGGTACCTCACGCACATTTTAACATTTCCTAAATATGTTCATATACTACACATAAAGTGAAGGATGTAACCAATGTAGCCCAATGTAGCACATCGCAATATATATATATATATATATATATATATATATATATTTAGGTCCGATACAAAATATATTTATATATATATATATATATATATATATATATATATATATATATATATATATATATATATATATATATATATATATATATATATATATATATATATATATATTTATTTAGGTCCGATACAAAATGGACAATATTGGCCCATTCCTTCGGAACCTATTCCATAGAGGGTCAACAATTTGAATAACGGTAACAGAAGTCAAAATATATTTAAATAATCGAACATTTGCTGGGGTTTTTCTATAGCTGGTTTTTCTTTATCCATACGGCAGCGGGATTGGAAATTGATGAGAATTTTTTTAACATTTGTTCGGCAGAAATAGAAAAAATTGCATTTTATTGTAAACCCCAGAAGTACAAGACATTACCAATCTGATTTCTTGGAATTCTGGACATCGTTCCATTATTGCTAAATAATTCTGAATAATTTTTTTGCTTATAAATTTGTCGTGTTCATGCCTTATTCTGCATTCCCTATTAAATAGTTCACAAGAAAAACAAAACGATAGCAACGCAAACTATCTAAACCCAATAAAATAATACGAATTGTAAGACAGCAAAGTTTAGACGGCTAGCATGACAGGCGCCTCAGCTGTTGGCAATTCTGAATATTCTCGTCCATTCAATTCGTTTTTATTATGGTATGTGTGTGTGTCTGAGCAATTCTGAGAAGTAATGTGCGAGAGTGAAACATAGTAAAATGTTATTTTAAATTGCTTATCGACTGACAATAAGAATTCCATTTCTATTTGGATGTTGTGGCGTATGAGTATTGACAGATAGAGAAATTATGTATACGAAACCGTGTTCAAGTTTTCGAAATGCTTAAAAATGAGGTTTTGTTGAAAACATGTTTAACTACAGCAAAAAGATGGATCTTACAATAAAATGTATTGGCCATTTAGTTGGAAACTACTTCAAAATATTAATCTGAAATGGATATGGTGTTTGGAGAAGTTTTACGGGGGATCACTTGCCGATTTTTTGATCACTTGTGGATTTTCTGAATTGCAAAGTAGCCCAAAATGCTTATGTTTCAATTGCCTAGTTTTAGGAATTTTTTTCTTACATCTGGAATATCAGGTATTAGATAAAGAAACATTTATCAGTTAAGAGGGGTTTGTTTAAAGGCCTAATGCCAATTGTTAATATTCAAGGAAATTATTATGAAATAGTTCTCAGTGAATTGTTGGTGTTTAAATTATTTAAATATATTTAACACACATTTTTATTTGTCCACAATATATATACGTTGTACAAATTATATGCCATATAATACATCACTGTCACACACAAATAAATCGTTGGTTTATGCGGGTGTTTTTTTCATATAAACATGCGGAAACAAAATTTTTGGTATATACATAAATATATGTATAAGGACATTTTCTTTGTAAAAACAAGAAAAATAGTATCAGTCGGTTTTGCCGACCCCCAGCATTGACTTATTATTATTATTCAAACTGTTGACTCTTTATGGGGATGTTCCGAGCTGGCCAATATTGACCAATTCGTATCTAACCTAAGGCTGGTATAAATATTACAACGTGCCAGATTTCGAGCGACTACTTCCTATATTTCATATTTTTTTTATAAATAATTTGGAAAATGTGTAATAGATATAGCGGATGAAGTACTCCACTTTTATACCCTCAGCCATATGGCTAGCATTAAAATGTGAATAAATCTCGTACTATCGCTCGTTACCGTGATACTGGTAGCGTAGCCCGACGTCAAGGAAGTGGACGGAAGAAACAGCATCATGAGCAGAAATGGTTCGAAAAGTAAAGAAGCGACTTGCTCGAAACCCACGCCGCAGTTGCCGAAAAATGACTAGTGAGCTGAACATATCGCAATATTCCATTCGACAAATATTGAAAAATGAGCTCGGGGTAAAGCCATTTAAATTCCAAAAAGTGCAAGAACTTACACCGCAACAGATAGAAAATAGACTCAAAAGAGCTAAAGAGTTACTTCGCTTGGCCGAAAGTGGTGAACTGCCGAATTTGGTTTTCTCCGATGAGAAAACATTCGTTGTCCAGCAGTTTGCAAACAAACAAAATGATCATGTTTACTTGCCAAAGAGGTCAGCTGAAAATGTGCACCTTCGGTTGGCCATCAGAACTCAAGCACCGGCCATGGTGATTTTGTGGGCCGTCATAACAGCCGAGGGTCGCTCTCCGCTCGTATTAATCGACCGTGGCATCAGAATAAATCAAAATGAGGTTTCTCGCTTACAATGGGCACCAAAATCTCCGGGTACCAATCCGTTGGACTATTGTGTCTGGGGTATTTTGGCATGCAAGGTTTGCACTAAAAAATACCAAAGTGTCGATCACCTTAAGCAAGCGCTTCGCCGGGAATGGGCCAAAATACCGCAGAACAACATTCGGGCAGCGTGTGACGGTTTCATTGGCCGTTTGAAGGCAATATTGGCAAAATATTTTTTTAAGAGGACGGCGCTACGTCCCACAGGGCAGAACCTACATTCGATTTTCAAAAAAAAGTTATTTTGCGGATTCTTTGTTATACCCTACAATACTATTTGTTGGGGGTATTATAAGTTTGATTGGCTTAGTCGAAATAACGGTTTTAGACCCTAGACCTCCGTTCAATAACATTTGGAGTCGATCTAGCGATGACCGTCTGTCCGTCCGTCTCTCTGTCTGCCTGTCTGGCTGGTGCGCATGAGTATCCTATTTGGTACATCGTAATATTTTTGTCAAACTTAGTTCGAGTTCGCAGATGGGCAATATTGGTCTATTCCTCTGGTACCACAAACAAATATTTTTTCTGCACAGAAAGATAAACGGTAATCCGATTTTGCTCCAACTTTGCAAATCGTAATATTTGCGTCTGAGCAAGTTCAGGTGAAAAATGACAATATCGGTCAACTCCATCAAGTACCTCCCCCACAAAGGGTAAAAATTTTGAATATATGTATATATATAAATATATTTATATATTCAAACATTTGTTGAGGGTATAAATCTGTCGGCAAAACCGTTTGACACTTTCTAACTTTTTTTTGTTGAATTTAAAATACTTTTTCTTATATCATTGACAGCATATGGATTCGTAGGTTATAATATATATTGTTAATGGATGTAAGTAAAAACACCGTCTGTTTCTCAAATAGTTGGGAAGATATTCTTAAATTACATAGACTTACCATGATTGGAGATTTTTTTTCTTTTAATATGGGCCTGTACAGAGTAAATTTGTGTTCTAACAACCCTCAAGACACACCAAATCTGGGGACCTTTAAAATTTCTTTTTGTTATTCGATTTGGGAAATTATTGTGGGATTTTGTGTTATATTCTCTTTTTTATTATATCGGATACGATGTAGATATCCAAGAAGATAAGGAGGAGGCACCTCATTTGACCTTTCTATAAACAACCCATAATATTTCTTTCCGTGATATACGATCTTTGAAAGCTTTATAAAAATATATTTTAAAAATATAATTAAATATAATATCTCTTTTTTTATTTATGTAAATAACAAAGCCAAAAAAAAAATAATAATTAATTAATAAAATATGTATGCACAAAAATATATGAAAAAATTAAATTTTTATTTCCATAATATAAAATTAATTATATTTTTACATTAACCTTAATTTAATCCTCTGTGTTAAATTTTTTTAAGTCATAAATTCTGATTATGTTTCATTTAATTATTTTCTCTTCTTTTTTTATTATTCATTTTTGCAGATTTTATGATTTATGTTGTTGTTGTCGTTGTCGCCCCCCTCAGCCACCACAACCACCAACACCGACATAGCCATAGCCATAGCCACCATTATCATCAGCATCATCACAAGTTCCATTACCACCACCACAACCACGACCGCCATTACCACAATAGCCACCACCACCTACAAAAGAACCACAACAACAGCCACAAACTTAGGCTCTGTCTTGGCCAAGTTATCAGTCATCAGCGATCAGAACAGCCAGAATCACAGCAACAAAAGAAAATTGTCTAAAAAAAACCAAACAAAACCGCTTGTTCCCCCTCAACCACCACCACCAAATTTGAAAAACAAACGAATTATTAGAAATTCCCGCTTTTTGAGCCACAGACCACCAACACCACAAAGCAAAATCAAATCAAATCATCAGCCATATTAATGAAAAACGCCAGGAAAAAAGCAAGAAAAATAAATCAAGCAAAGCGCAGCAACAACAAAAAACCAAACTGATAGTCCAAAAAAAAAAAAAAAAAATATAAATCATCGACGAAAGACACCGACAGCCAAAGGCCCAACCAAAACCGAAAAAAAACAAGAAACAAAAAACAGGAAAAACTAAAAGAACAAATCATCAGCATTAAAAAATCTCAGTCAGTATCAGAATCATCATCGTCATCGCTATCGTCCATTGCCAACACCACCACTACCACTACCACCAACACCACCATAGCCATCGTCATCATCAGCGTGTTAGTGTTGTAGTAGTTGCCCGTACAAATCCAACACCGATTCCCTTATCCTCGTCCTCGTCACTTCCGTCGTCATCATGGCTACCATTAACTCGGTAAGTATTTTTTTAAAACAACAAAAACAAAAAACCAAAAAAACATAATTCTTCTTGTTTTTATTGCTTTTATTGAAATTATTTTGTTGTTGTAATCCCCATAAACCTACACACACAAATATTATTATGTATGCGGCTGTTTATGTCAGCATAATTACCAAACAGCCGGAAATATTATTTTTTTTTTGTTTCATTTGGAAAATTAAGTTTTATGGGTTTTTAATGATTCACTCCGGATTCCCTTTTGATAGGCGTAAAAATGTTGTTTCTTTGCGGCAAGTCATTCTAAATCAGGCAGAATGACGCCAGCATGGAGCACATGAAGTCTGGGCTGGCAGAGGGACATTTTTCTCTCTCTCTCTCCCCTCTATTCATTTATTACAAATGAATATTGAGAAATTATTTTGTTCAGATTTTTAGCCATAGAAGAGATACCATGGTGGGGCCCACAAAGTGATCCAGCAGATGTCCAAGATTCATCTTCTTTTTTTGCGTATGTGTTTCCAACACCTCCACAGCAATCGTACGTCACCATGTTCAAAAGAATTTCGACAAACCGACCCCTAAATGTTATGACAGATACAATTAGCATCAAAAAACACAAAAGATGAAAGACTTGGGAATAAAAATTTATAACCCCATAACAAAATGTCACATTAATTTCCAAAATAAAAAATATTTCAATATCAATTAGATTGTCTTGTGGCGGGCAGATTTATTGCCTTTCCATAAGAAATGGAAAAATTCATTTTCCATTTTAACAGCAATAGAATTTGAAAAACTAGTTTCGGAAAGAATACGAAATAAAATTCGAAAAGAGAAGTCGATAAACGGCCAGATTGAAGAAACTCTGAAGAATGGAAGATTCAAATTTAATAAGTTATAAGATATCAGTCGATTTGGTGACATATATACACCAAGCTTACGGACATAGACAGGATGGCGGCCCAGGAGGTCGGACACCCCCGAAATGTATATATATTCCGAATGTTTAACTTTTATATATTTATTTTTATACCCTACAACACTATGTGTTGGGGGTATTATAAGTTTGATTGGGCCAAATATTATGAAACACCACGAAATATTGGTTTCCCACATAGGAGAGAATATGTGGATCTTCCTATCTCGCCGAGCTGAGTCAATCTAGCTATGTGTGTCCATCTGTACATGTTAATTTGTAATCACTCTACAGGTCGCAATTATGGCCCACCAATTTAGAATGTAGGTGGTTGATATGGACCAAAAACCGAAATAAATTATGATTTTGCATTTGCTCTACAGGTCGCAATTATAGACCAATCAAAGCGGAAGTTAGCAAGGGCCTAGAGCATATGGCTGGGCAGAAGCCTTCCAATTTTGACGGTCATCGGGTAATATTTAGTAGGTAATATAGGCCACAACATTTGTATTAAATAAAATAAATAACGATTATAAGGGTTATTTCGGTTGCTTTAGGCCAAATCCGATTCAGGACATTTGGATACGATCTAGCGATGTCCGTCAACCGTATGGCTGGCTGGGAATATTTGATTTGATCCAAACTTGGTACATCGTAATACAAGTGCCAATCTTTTAGATCGGGTTCGGAGATGGGTAATATCGATTCACTCCTTCTGGTACCTCCCCCACAAAATGTCAACATTTTCAAAGAAAATAATTTACTGCACAGAAAAAGTAGGGATAATCGGATTTTGCTCAAATTTTGCACATACTAATATTTGCATCAGGTCGGTCAACACCATTAAGTACCTACCCCACAAAGGGTCAACAAGGCTTTAATACACTCTCCAGAATATTTATGCGATAATATTTGGCATTTATTCCAATGCCACGGTCGATTAATACGAGCGGAGAGCGGCCAGCACCATCACTATGGCCGGCGCTTGAGTTCTGGTGGCTAACCGAAGGTGTCCATCTTCAGCTGACCTCTTTGGCAAGTAAACACGATCATTTAGTTTATTTACAAACTGCTAGACAACGAATGTTTTCTCATCGGAGAAAATCAAATTCGTCAGTTCACCACTTTCGGCCAAGCGATGCAACTCTTTAGCTTTTTATACCCTCCACTGTACTATGGAGAGTATATTCAGTTTTTAAACCTCCTCGAAATACTCATGTCACACCCAACAAAGTATTCTTGATCAGCTTAAAATTCTAAGTCGATGTCTGTCTGTTTATCTGTCCATCAATCTGTTGTAATCACGCTATCTTTCGAACGAATTGAGATAGAAGGTTAAAATTGTCCATACATGCGTAGTTTATCAGTAGGCAGGTTAAGTTCGTAAATGCGTCATGTAGGTCCACGTTTTCATATAGCCCCCATGTAACGATACCTCCCTATATTCGGTATTTTGATGATTTTAGCGACATTACTCACCGGAATTGTTTCACATTTGGTATTTAAAGTTCGAAATGGATATTACAACCTGAGACAGAAAATTGTCTGTGCAGGTCTACGTCTTCGTATAGCTCCCTTATAGCGCTACCTCCCTATATTCGGCATTTTGATGATTTTAGCGACAATATTCATCGGAATTGTTTCAATCTTGGTATTTGATGTTTGTAATGGATACTACAGCCTATTACAGGAGATTGTCTGTACAGGTCCCCGTTTTCGTATAGCCCCCATATATTCGGTATTTTGATGATTTTAGCGATATTATTCACCGGCATCGTTTCAAATTTCGTAGTGGAAGATACCAATGCATACTACAGCCTATGGCAAAAATTTTAGCGACATTATTTACCGGAATTATTTCGAATTTCGTATTTGAAGTTCGTAACAGGTACTAGAGCCTATGGCAACAATTTTTATATGCAGGCCCACGTCTTCGTATAGCCTCCATATGACAGTTCCTCCCGATATACCGTATTTTTATTATTTTTGAGACATTAAATCAAATAAATCATCAAAACTTTCGTATGTAGGTCCACGTCTTCGCATGGTCCCCATATAACGGTACCTCCCGATATTCGATATTTTGATGATTGTAGTGTCATTTTTCGCCGGAGTAGTTTCAAATTACATATTTGGAGTTCGTAATAGGAACTACAGTCTGTGATAAAAAGTATGCAGGTCCAGATCTTCGCATAGGCTCCATATATCAGTACCTCGTATTTAAAGTTCGTAATGGATGTTACAGCCTTTATTATTCACCGTTTATTTCATGATTCGAATTTGAATATGGCTTATGAATTGAATATGGCTTATAACAAACAATACCTACGTAGGTCCACGTCGTATAGACACCAATATAACGGCTATATTCGGTATTTTTAAGATTTTAAGAGAATTTTTAATGGATTATAATTTTTTGAAAATTTTCAAATTCGTTCCAAATGGTGGTGGAAGTTAAGTTCGGCCTTGCCAATCTTACTGCTTTTTTTCTGTTGCGGTGTAAGTTCTTGAACTTTTTGGAATTTCAATGGCTTTACCCCGAGCTCATTTTAAAATATTTGCCGAATGGAATATTGCGATATGTTCAGCTCACGATCCATTTTTCGGCCACTGCGACGCGGGGTTCGATCAAGTCGTTTCTTTACTTTTCGAACCATTTCTGCTGATGTTCCTTGACTTCTGGGCTACGTTACCAGTATCACGGTAACGAGCGATGGTACGAGACACAAATGATTTATTCACATTTAAATGCTGGAGTGCTCTAACGATAGCCACTTGTGGTTTTCCTGCCAAATATAAAGAAATCACACTATCACGCTTGAATTCCATCACGAATAACTTTTTTTCTGGAAAATTCTCACCAAAATGATTTTGTGCAATTGTAAAAAATATAATGAGCTGTCACTGGAATATTTTTGGCAGCTGTCGGACGAGTGGCTAAGAAATGATAGTAGTTTGAAGTTGGTTGCAGTTTTTTCATCTCACCATGTATAACGATATAAAATGTTTTCGAAAGACAGTGGGTTTTCTGGTACTCGTTTTAGTAAGTTCCAAGATCGAGTTCCGAAAGCTTAATTAAATTCTTGTTTTATATATCCCTACAAGGAAAAATTCATTATTTCATCTTTGTATGATCCCCGATTTGGTCCAAACCTTATATTATTATACCCTACACCACAAGGTGGTCAGGGTATTATGTCTTTGTGCAATTGTTTGTAACAGGCAAAAGGAAACGAGATAGACCCAAAGTTCCTTTTGATGATCTGCATAGAATCCAATTCTGAGTCGATTTATGCATGTCCGTCCGTCCGTCCCTCCCTCCCTCTGTCCATGTATTTTTGTAAACAAAGTACAGGTCGCATTTATTGCCCGATCCAGATGAAATTTTGCACAAATCATTTGTTTGGCCCAAGGACAAACCCTATTGAAATTGGAGATAATCGGTCAACATTTAGATATAGCTCCCATTATATCTTCGTCTGATTTACCTTTTATTGTGCACCAAACTTGTAATGTCAGCCCGAATTGTATGGAATTTTGCATATACACCCAAATTAGGGCTGAAAATAAGTATGTCAAATATGATCGAAATCGGTTCAGATATAGCTATAGCTCCCATATATATTGTTCATCCGATTTGTTATTTTTGTCCTCCGCAGCCGTAATATGCACTCTTTAACAACAATATTTGGGGAAATATATCAAATATAGCTCAGAAATACATTTGCTAAATTTTATGGAGATCTGTTCAGATTTGGATATAGCTCCCATTTATAACTTCGTCCGATTTACCTTTGATTGTGCACCAAACGTCTAATATTTGTCCAAATTGGATGAAATTTGGCACTTACGACCGAATTGAGTCTAGAAGCTAATATGTCAAATTTGGTGAAGATTGGTTCAGATATAGCTATAGCTCCCATATATAGTGTTCCTCCGATTTGTTATATTTGTTACCCACAGCCGTAATATGAACTCCGTAACAACGATATTCAGGGAAATATATCAAATACAGCTCAGAAATATCTTTGCCAAATTTTATCGAGATCGGTTCCGATTTGGATATAGCACCCATATATATTTTTATCCGATTTCAAAT